ACACACACACACACACACACACACACACACACACAGAGGGGTTGGTGTGAGTAAAGCCGACCACTTTTCTCAGGTGTATTGCTAACTCTGGGTGACGTGGTGAGTCCTCATCCATCAGTCAAATGCATCCTGGGCAGACTGTCAGGGTTTAACCTCCTGATGAGCCGGTGAAAGTCCGACGAAACAGTTTGGCACAGTCATGCTTTTCCGTGGAGTTGGTATAGCGAATACGACAACACAGATGCACTCAGGCAGGCACGCACACACACACACAGACACACACACACACTCACGCTTTTTTTGAGTGTATTGCGAATACACACACACACACACACACACACACACACACACACACACACACACACACACGCACGCACACACGCACGCACGCACACGCATGCACGCATGCACGAACACCCACGCACTACCAGTAATGTTTAGGAGGGCGGCGATAGGCCTACCGGTACCAGTAGGCAGATTCTAGGTCCTTCCGGCCCGTTGGCACAAGCAACGCGCGCAGATGTTGACGCCCACTGCACAGCGCCGCTGATGAGCGCCGGCGGGAAGCGGGAAGCGGGAACTGGGTCAGCGTCGAGCACCCTCGTTCGCGTGCGCTGTGAGCTGCTATAGCCGCTGTGGTAGGTTGCTGTCTACGTGGCTATCCGTGGGAAAGCCTGCGCATTTCCGAGAGATCGCCACAATCGCGAAACGTGCAGCTTGAAGTCTGGCGGGAGCACGAGCTTCGACGTCGGCGGGTTTGTGGTACGTCACTCTGTCGCAGTGGTCGGCTCGTTCTCGAGCGCCGAAGCCGGGGCCTCGCTCCACTACTCGGACATGCACAAAAGACAAAAGATATGGCGGTGTACCGTTCCGACTTCCAAGTTCTAGCTGAAGATTCATCCTCATTTTGCACATTTCGAGAGTAGTGGAGTGAGACCCCGGGCCTGCGCCGGGTGTAGTGCCGCCACCGGTCTTGCGATGCCGATCACTCTGATGTCGTCCTCACGAGGTGCAAAATGGACCCCGACATGAAGAAGACAGAACCACTGGGCAAACCTCGCCCTGATGTGGTCCTGTCCCTCCGCTACGCTAGGTACCAGCCCGAAAGGCCGCGGCATGGGTACATGCGCTCGATTGGACTCGGTCACGTCTACTGTTAGCGAGAACAACGAGGGAGGCGCAGCTACTGCCAAAATGCTCAGTCTTTGCATTAGCCGGACCGCCACCGGCGCAGCTACTGGCAAAATGTTCGGTCTTTGCATTAGCGGGACCCCCACCGGCCGCCCCACCCCATCCCTGACCACCACGGTTGGGACAGGGGGCAACATGCATCCCCAATGATGGCTGGAGGGAGACAAAGAAGGTATGTTCGCAGGGGTCCCCTGTATAAGGGCCTCCTTCCACACCACTTGCGTTCAAGAGCAAAGCGAAAAATCATCGTTCCACCCCCCCCTTAGAGCGACCCGCTTTGTTTTCACCTTTTTGCGTCCCAAGGGTGCGCGCTACACAGCCAAAATCACCCTTGAATTCAAGTCACCTCCCGGAGGTACCTTGAGTTCAAGTGCCAGCAGATACCGCCAGCACTCCAAGTGGGGCCTTTTTCTTGTTTTTCTTTTTTTCCAGCAGGCGATCCTGGTCGAGGATTGGTCAAGCCGTGGAGTTCGGTTTAAGTGCAGCCTGTTCAAGGGTTTCAGAATCCTCAAGCGTACATGGAACCATAAATGGAGTAAGTCTCATTTAGTGTGCACTTGAAACTCAAGTATTTTCAAGTGGTGTGGAACGAGGCCCTAAGCCTTAGGGTAGGTAGGTAGTGAAGGTGAATTGAAAGAATATGAAAGATGATGAAACGGAAAAAAAAAAAAAAAAACTCAAGTGGGCCTAGCTCAGTTGGTAAGGGACAGAAGTTGCATTCAGAAGGTCGTGGGTTCAATCCCCACGGGCCTCACGTACGTGCCTGGGCAAGCTTGGTGTTCTACCACCTAGAGATAACCAATTGGCCCCCCAAGCCAGCATTGGCAGGACCTTGGCCAATGTCCTTGGTTGCTATGCAGCAACTATATTGGCCATTAGACACTGTGGGGTTGGGGGGGGGAGGGGGGGGGAGGTGCAGCGACTGGCCATAGTGCTCGGCACTAGCACCACCGGTTTCTCCCATCAGCAATGCCTGCCCACCCTGCATCACCGTGATGAGGGGCTGAGTACAGCCTTGCTCTCGAACAACTCCTGTGGTGCAAACCTACCTCGTGGGCTGGGGAGAGATCCGGGTTGGTTGGTCTTCCCCATACTACGTAGATGAGAAAGATGAGTACGTAGATAGATTGAGAGGATGAGATAGATGAGAAAGATGAGTACGTAGATAGATTGAGAGAAGAATATAGTTTAGTTATAACTTAAAAAAAAAAAAAAAAAAAAAAAAAACCTCAACCAATTGTAGTAACCCTGTTCAGAAGTAGCCTGGGGCCCAGAACTCAGCCCCAGGTAACGCAGACCTGAGATGGTCTGCGCTGGGCTGTGTGACCAAGACACGCCCAGGCCTGAGTCCGTCGCGTATGGCTGTGTGACCGAACGCTGCACACAGGAAATTCAAGGGTCAAAGTCAATTGTAGAGTCAAAGGTACCGCACCCAGGCCCTTGGTTAGATACACTCACTTGTTGTGCGCAGGTACCCAGCCAGCATCCAGACCTGAGGGAATTCGGTTTCAAACCAATCTGGGCCCTCATTTGCATTGAGATTTGGACGGTTGAGGGATGCAGCATCTGGGGTCCAGACCCGGCGTCAACGCTACATAAGCACCGACTTCCTGGCTTTGACATTCATTTTGTCTTGCGTTGATGCTGACTTCACGTGTTGACTTCAACGCTGGCTCGACGCTGCAACGCTGACATTGTGATTCAGCGAGGCGCTGCTGGTTCGGCATGGTGGCTGGCTCGCACCAGTCTTCTTGGCATGCTGACGTGGCAACTGCCATGCGCTATCGCTGATGTGGTTGCTGCCACGTGTATTATTGGCTGACGTGGTTGCTGCCACCTCAAATTAAATGGCTTCCACCTGAGATGCCAATTACAATCTTGGGGATTTCCATCTCAGCACTAGGCAAACCAATATCTAACAATGCTGGGACTATGCAACAAGCTCAATCAAAACTAGAATTGTGGTAAGACAAACACACTTCGCTATTGGGCAAAACGCTAGCAATTAATAACGTGGTTCTAACTTCTATCTGGTATCAGAACTAGAATTGTGAAAAGACAAACACACTTCGCTATTGGGCAGAACGCTAGCAATTAATAACGTGGTTCTAGCTTCTATCTGGTACAAATGTGCATTATGGGCCTTGGATAAAGTTAACATTAAGGCGTTTCAACGATAATTGGCGACCTTCTTATGGCGAGGAAATCATGAATGTGAAAATGTTATCAGTAGGGTGGCATGGTTAACTGTAATCCAACCAAAATTCAAAGGTCTTGGCATCATTGATCCTGCTACCCTGGCCATGACCCTTTCAATTCAATGGTTAAAACGCCTCTTATTTAATCCCCTGACTCATTGGACTCTCCTGGCTTGTGAGCAAATTAGGAGGTTAGTACCACCCACTTCGGAGGAGGTAAACCCCCTCATGTGGCTAAAAAATCGTTCCTGGTCCCTTCCAAGAGGTTCTCTAGTACAACCTCTTCAGGGGGACCTCTCTGATCGCTAAGCAACCAGAAAAGATCTTTACAGGGATCCCTTTTGGATCACTTTAATGAGAACCTGGAGGAAACTCCCCCTTCCTAATAAGATAGACCCTGAGAGATGGGATGAAGTAAGTCAACAAACATTATTTAACAATACATTTATCAGAGACACTCATGGTTGTACTCTTAACTGCACTGACTCACCATGGAAAGGGTGGATTAAGAAAGAGGTTATTTGCATCAGGGATATTTGGAGTAGTGAGAACGGAGACGGGATTGATTCCTTGGTCCTCCAAGAGCGCTTGAGATACTGTCATCATCAGAAGGAAACCCTGGATCAGATAATTGACATCATCCCTTTAGAATGGGTCAGAATTCTTAAGAAAGGACCTAAACTCCTCGCCAATGATTGGGTGACCATCAAGGTACAACAAGGTGTAGTGTGGAACATAACTGAAGTCTTAAATGAAAGGGACATCCTCCTATCTATTATTGATTTGAAAGCAAATGGCTTCCTTAGGCCTAGGACACGAGAGCACATTGAGTGGTTCAAGGTGGACCAACTATTTCGGATCAGGGTTTTAAAGATCAAAGATAGATGGCTAACCTTTAAACCAGATACACCCATTTCTCACTTACCTTTTGACCCGGTAAACTAGACCTGCCTAGTTCAGAGGGAAGAGGACGCTCCTACTCTAGATCGCTTCATAAATTATCAGTCAAATCAACTTACAGGATGCTTCGCCCTAAGGTGAATATAAAGGACCGAATAGAAACCCGTTGGATGAGACATCTAAATGTAAGTAAATAAGAGTTGGAATCAGTTAAATAGTTTCTTTCCATTAAATCTCGTCCAACCAAGGTAGCATCTCTGCAGTGGCAGATTGCCCATCGCTGCCTTCCCACAAATGATTGGATTATAGATAGAACCTCATTAGAACAAAGAGGAATAGCTCACCCGTGGTGTAAGTTATGTAAATCAGCCTTCCCTTCCAAACTAATTCCGGAAACATTAGAGCACATTTTTCTCCAATGCCCATGATCAGTTTGACTATGGCGTTGGTGGGACAGAATTTGGAATCAATTGGGAACATCGCTCCCCTGGCCTTGGGATTGGAAGGCGCTACTTCTGGAAGCTTGGAATCCCGATCAGGTTAATGACTTTACATTAAACTTGTCCACAGTTGGAAGGAGAGCAATTATTTGGGCAATAAGGACACGAAGATGCACATATGAAATGGAAGGTGCACGCTTGGATGGACCGAAATTTACTGAAACAATTAAGCAATATGTTCAAACAGAGATTACTACCAAATGGGAAGGACTAAAAGAAAAAATATTATATCTGACACAGAAAAAAGAAATCATGTAACATATTATATCACTTAATCGAAGCTGGCTTGGGGGGGACAAGGGAGGGAGGCTAGGGCGGGTGGAATGGGAGGGAGCACAAGACAATGATCAGGATGCGTTTCAAAGGAATTACCGCTTGACCTTCAATGATTGGATTGAAGTTGACCCTGCTATTCTATTAAGGTCCCTGACGGACTTCCCTGATCCTTTTCCCCCATCAAATTTATGTTTAGTTCCCAGATCATGGTATGGATATGAATGAACCCATAGAGGGTTGATSYAGTGCTAGGRAGACATGTTTTTTCAGGCGCCCTGATGAGGGTGAAGAGGCACAAGTTTCAACACAACAATYTGTTCTTATGGTTCATGTTCAAGGTTTCAAAAGATATATTTATGGGACGCTGGACCCGGTTTCCAGCAGGTGACGCTCCCCACCAATAGATGGAGCAACTTGTTATGAAAAAAAAAAAAAAAAAAAAAAATCTGTGCTTGGTGTGATATCAT